CTCCAACTCATTTTAAAGATGGTGGGGACTTTCTGACTACGGAACTGACGACGTTGTTTACAAAGGTCTGGGGATTAGAGAGTGTACCAACGTCATGAAATGAGTCGATAGTTGTCCCTATCTTTGAAAAGGGTTCACGTCGTTCCTGTAACAACTATCGGAGGATAAGTCTACTTCCGATTACGTCCAAGCTATTGACTTCCGTCATACTTCGTAGGTTGTTCGAAACCCGAGAAAGATTGACTCGCGAGGAGCAGGCTGGGTTTCGTTCTGGTCGAGGATGTATTCATCATATCTTCACCCTCCGCCAAATGTCAGAACACCGTCATACTTGTCAAAGGCCAACAATCGTTGTGTTTCTTGACATCAGGGCTGCATTCGATTCGTTGGATAGGACTGTTCTCTGGGATTGTCTATTGAAGAACGGTGTGTCTGAGAAGTTTATTAACATCCTAAAAGCCCTATATACAAACACCTCTAGTAGAGTGAGGGCATACAACCACCTCTCTTCACTGTTCCATTCGAGTAGTGGGGTTAGACAGGGTTGCCCAATCTCACCATTCCTCTTCAACTTTGCCATCGATGACATTCTGGAAACAGCTCTGATGGATGTAGGTAATAGCGGTGTGAATCTGTTGCCTGAAGAAAGACTTTTCAACCTTGAGTATGCGGATGATATTGTCTTAGTGTGCGATAATGTTCAAGCCATGCAATTCGCACTTAATCAGTTGGCAATCAATGTCCGTAGGTATGGTATATGCTTTGCATTTTCCAAGTGCAAAGTACTTCTACAAAACTAACAGGATTCTAATCCTGTACTCACCCTGGATGGTGAGCAGATAGAAGTAGTCGAGAAGTTCGTGTATCTCGGTAGCTGCATAAGTGCTGGTGAGGGTGTGAGTGATGAGATCAATGCACGTATAGTGAAAGTCAGAGCGGCTTATGCTAATCTGGGCCACCTTTGGCGCATTCGTGATGTTAGTCTGGTTGTAAAAGGTCGAATCTACAACGCGTCGGTGAGAGCAGTTTCGCTCTACGCTTGTGAAACCTGGCCTCTCCAAGTTGAGGACGTTAGACGACTCTGTGTTCGATCATCGTTGTCTCCGAAGGATTGCTGACATCCAGTGGCAACGCCATGTCAGTAGTAATGCAGAGGTTTGACATCGTGTGTTCGGGCACAGAGACGATAATGCAATTGGTGTCACCATCTTGAAGCATCGACTTCGGTGGCTTGGACATGTTCTACGAATGTCGTCCCAGAGAATTCCACGTCGTGCATTATTTGCCGACGCTGATGTTGGTTGGAAGAAGCGGAGAGGTGATCAGTGTATGACATGGTGTCGTGGCATGAAAGAAAGCTGCAAAGGAATGACTTGTGTTGGTCCCTCACGACTCCCTGGTTGGAGTCCTAGAGATGGTGCGACACAGTGGCTAGAGACGTTATCAGATATGGCTCAGAATAGAAACCAGTGGCGATCCTGCTGTAACCTTCTTTTACTTCATAAAAAGTGGTTGTATCTTTCTTAACTGAAAGATATCTTTTGGTTGTACCTTTCCGTTTCCCCCATTATTATTATGATTACACTTCCTTACACTAATCTGGTCTTTATTGTTCCTCTTCTTCTTTTTTTTCTTTTACGCTCCTTACATTTTTTCTCCTCATTCTCATTGTTTTGCGTGGCGCATATATATTTGGTGCCCCGTTGTACCAATATTGATGTATTCAAATAAATAATAATAAATAAATAATCACTGTGGGTGATGGATGATACAGACCAGTCCAAAACATTCTATTGACACTCAAGGAAGCCGGAAGACTGCATAATTTCTGTATCTCCAAGGAATACCACTATATCATTTGGATGTTATATGACTTGTGAATAGTTGTCTACTTGCGTAGACAACTATTGATCACCTTCCAGGAGGTCCACTTATCGACTTAGAATACGCAGATGACATAGTCCTGTTTGGTGAAGACGCTGACAAAATGCAGAGTCTTTTGGTAGCACTGAGCAACAATGCCAGAATGTTTGGAATGCGCTTCTCTCCCTCGAAATGCAAGTTGTTGCTTCAGGACTGGTCTGCGTTAACACCTGAACTAAGGATAGGGAGTGAAGTAGTCGAACGCGTTGACAACTTCACTTATCTTGGAAGTCTGATCAGCCCTAATGGGTTGGTATCGGACGAAATCTCAGCACGGATTCGAAAAGCTCGTTTGGCTTTTGCCAACTTACGTCACCTGTGGCGAAGGCGAGATATCCGTCTATCAATAAAAGGACGAGTATACTGCGCGGCAGTCCGTTCTGTTTTACTTTACGGTAGCGAAACATGGCCATTAAGAGTAGAAGACACTCGCAAGCTGCTAGTATTTGACCACAGATGCCTTAGAAATATTGCTGGCGTCTGCTGGGATAATCGGGTAAGTAATAGTGAGGTTAGACGCAGGGTATTAGGAAAGGATGGTAAATCAGTTGATGAGGTTATGAATCTTCATCGACTGAGATGGTTGGGCCACGTGTTACGTATGCCTGAACACCGATTACCACGACGTGCAATGCTATCCGGTGTTGGGGATGGTTGGAAGAAAGTTAGGGGCGGCCAAACCAAAACGTGGCATCAGTGCTTGAAGTCACTAACTTCTAGTCTGAGCCATGTTGGTAGATGCAGACTACTTGGTTGGGGTCCGCGTGACTATCGTAACCAATGGTTGGAGACTCTTGGTGACATGGCTCAGAATCGATCACAATGGCGTCGGTGTATACACTCGGTTTCTTCCCTTAAACTAAGAGATTAAAAGCGCTTCATATCTTTCTTTCTACTAACCAATTCTTTCTTCTTGTACTATATCTCTATATGCAATCTTTCTCTTATATATTACCACCTTTTACCTAACCACTGTTATGAATCCGGTGTTCATCTTGTTGTGCTGATGCGGTATAGCAACCTGGACCGATGCACATAAGTGCATGGTTCTACGTTGTAGCTGACTGACTGACTGACTGACTGTCTACGCAAGATACTCAGCATCCATTGGCCGGATACCATCAGCGACAGCCTACTGTGAGAGGGAACAAACCAGATTCCAGATGAAAGGAAATTAGGGAAAGATGATGGGAATTGATAGAACATACATTGAGAAAATCACAAAACTGCATCACGAGGCAAGCTCTAACTTGGAATCCTGAGGGGAAGCGGAGAAGAGGAAGGCCATAGAACACATCACATCGGGAAACAGAAGCAGATATGAAAAGGATGAATAACAACTGGAAAGGATTGCCCAGGACAGGGTTGGATGGAGAATGATTGTGGGCGGCTTATGCTCCCCTACGAGCAGTAACAGGCGTAAGTATTCTATGACTAAATTAAATAAAAAGGGGAGTAGTAAACAGACCTAACAAAAACCACTTTAGGTTGATAGTTCGCCACAATCTCTGAATTGAATAATAATGTTTGAGTAGACCGCCTTTAAAAAATTCCTTAGTACGCCTTTTATTGACGGACAATGCCATATAACCTCTTGGTCAACGAAGTCGAACGCCGTCCTAAGACCAACAAATAAAGCTGTTGAAAAAACATTCCTTTTATACAGTCCCAGTTTTTAATTCGAATGGCTATTGCTTCTGCACTATAGTCGGAATTAAGTAACCATGCCTATGTTCCAAGAACTGATGAAGTAAATGCTTAGCCAATAGATCCGCGTCCAAGTCTGAAACCAGCCTGCACTTGCTGGTTTGGCTCCGCAAATATTTGGAGTAATATTTTACAAACAGATCCTTGAGTACAGAAATGTACTAAGATTTACTTCTTGATAATCAAAACATAATATTCAAGTCGAGTTTTGAAGTAAACAACTTCGAATTTTTAAACCACAAGATGAAAACTATTTGCGGTGCTAAGAAACTCGAATTCTTAGTGACTTATTGTCTAGAACCATACATAAAATATTATAAATTCGCATGCTAGTTTTAATGGAATCGACAAAGATAGCGGTAGTTAATGAACCTATTTGGTGTTCAGTTATCATAGATTATTTTCAGTTTCTGATAGCTGAAACGGGTAAAAACCGTGTTAAGAGTTGTTGTGTACTGAACAGGTCTGCTAGAATGTGATGTATCTGTTTCTGTCAAATTTAAAAGACAAAACTACTGTTTCTTATTTCTGTTTCATAATTACGCTATGCTGAGGTTACTTTTTCTGTTAACCTGGATCATCATTTTACAACACTCTGGTAGATAACACCGTGAATAAAAACACATTTTTAACAGAATAAAGGGTCGTTTAGAACGTTTACACTACAATCCTTAAATTTTATGCATAAAAGTTTGTTGGGAAATCTGAGTTACATAACTGGAAGTCAACTACAGAAAACAATGAATCTAAGTATTGTGCAGGAACGCAAAGATTTAGACGGTTTAACTAAACAGATGTTGTCAATGAACTACTCGGGACAGTGGTCTTGAGTATATCAAGGTGCACAAGTGACCTTGATGTTTCAAACACGATTTTTCTTCAGATAATTACGATCGAAATTCCTCATGGCTTCAGGACAATCGCCCTCGTACGACATAATATAAAATAGTGCTGAGTGATTCTCTTTGGGATCCTTTCCAGTTCTTTCCAATTGTAAAGGAGAGCCCAAAAAGAATGACTCTGCAATATTTGATATTATATTGTCAAGAAGCGAGATTAGGTCAATTAGTTTGATAATGACATATACTTAGAATATAAACATGACCCCTAAGTAACAACCAAGTAGTATAATTAATATTAGTCACTACGTAGTGACTGCAAAATTTGTGCGAATTCCCTAAATCAAGCAATAAGGAATATATATTTGTAACGCATGATAATACTACTAACAGTTCAAAATAGCGCATATGCCCCCTATAATTGTGAGTCCTGGTAAATCCAAAATCACTCAAAGCTATATTGATTCTACATATTAATATGACCACATATAAAGATGCTTACAAAATCCAAAAGCACAATAGGAGACCTACCTAGACTGATCCATTCTACACATTTAACTTTTTCCTCCAACTCCATAGATAATATGGCGCTTTTGCTATCCAAGCTCCATATATGCAGTGTACCATCGTAACCACCTGTTAGAATGCTGACAAAAAAACAAAACAAATTCAGAGAAAAACGGGGAAAGTTAGTCGATATCAACCGGTTGAACTGTGTGGTTTGGGTTTCATGGTAATTTAATCTCTATCCTAAGTGGTGAAGTGTGGAAACATAACATTTTAGTGTCATTAACGTAATTTAAGACGTGTTCTAGTGTATCCGTCTTACAAGAGCTAGGATATAACTGTATACCGGCACATTTACTGATAAGAAATCCGTGTCTTTAAATATTACATCACCGTAGAATTATTTGAAGCTGTAGCCTGGTGGTTAAAATACACAAACTCCAAAAATAGGTCAAAGGTTTGGACCGCATCTCACCTAAGTCAGGGACCTGACGAAACTACTAACCCACACAATATGGCTTAAAGTTAAGTGAACGAAACTTGACTGGGCAAACGGGTAAACACAATCAGCGTTATGTGTTAAGTTACTCGTTTGTCACAGTTACAGCGTACACACACATGATAGAGTAAATAACTAAACTAAGGTTGCTACTTATTGAAGTCCTAACACCAGTATGTAAGTTTCACAGGTATATTTTGCTTAGTTAGAACATGGCAAAATTTATTACATTCGAGGGCTCAAGTAGCACGTTACATACATCAACCAAATAAGCTACTTATATAGGCTACACAATTTGTTCTAAACTAAGTAGCAGATTATCTATGATTACAATAAACTAACAAACAAGTAATTTACTAAAAATAAAAGAGTGTAAGACTAACTGTCTTTCCAATTCAGTAGTCACGTTATCCGAGAGCTAATCATTTTTGACAATCTGCTATGAAGTAAAAAACAATGAGACATTAATTAAACGAGTTGCTAACAATTACTTTACAAATTTGCAACCACCATCAGTTTGCAACTGAGTAAATGTTTAATCAAAGATCGCTTTTACCGTCTTAATTTTATAACCTTATTTGACAAAATTATTAAACAATTATCAGTAGGAAGCATTAACCGCATTTTAACTACTTACTACTTATCACATCGTTTGACACAGCTGATCAAGTCATCCTGTACATATTCTCTTTCGTATTTTGGTGGTTCTTGTTTTGGACAAAACTCAATGTCAATGGTTTCCTAAAGCAATGACATCTAACTAAACAAGGACTCACAGATATAACTTCTTTCTCTGATAAGTATTCATGCAGAGTCGAAGTCAGAATCAAATTGTCCACGAGAAACGTAAATTCCGGATATGTCCTGGACTCTCTGGTTTCTGCACAATAATGTGTAAGAAAAGCATATTACCATCTAGCAGAACTTTGACTAAATTATTGAGTTCTTCAACAGTCGTGTGCTGTGGTACTGTAATCGGTGCGGAGGGAACAGAATACCTTGAAGGTATTTCACAGTTTTATTGAAGACCTACTGTTTGGATTTCGTGTAAAAAGTTATTTGGACGTTCTGATCCATTTTTGCACGCCAAATGGTAGCACAAAAGCCAAATGCGCCGCCACAAACAGATTCAGATTTGGGTAGAAAGGACAGAAGGCCTACGACACGTGTTAGCCCCTTCTAATAAGCTTCTGAGGACGTCTGATTCACTCTTAGACGAGTCAATTGAAGGGGCGGACATCACTACTTCAGGTAGCAGGCTCCAAGTAAGGATGACTGAGTGTGAAAACCTGTAAGTCTCGCGGAAAGCCACTAAGTACATGCTTCCAGGAGAAGCACTTGGAATTCATCTTTACTTTCCGTCTACGAACTACCAAAGAATCTTTCAACCATTTTAGGAGGGTCCGATAATGCCTAGATTTTCCAGATTCAGATTTGTGTAGTAAGGACAGAAGGCTTACGGCCTATGTTATTCCTTTCCTGGTATGCTTCTGTGAGTGTCCAGTCTTCTCATGAAAGAGTCAATTGAAGGTGCGGACACCACTGCTTCAGGCAGCAGGTTCCAAGTATTGATGACGCGGTGTGAAAACCTGTATGCCACGGGTATTTTTGTTCGTTCTTGGCTTGTCTACTCGCCTGCTATGTCCTCTAAGGTGTCCCAATCTAGTGGGAAGAGAGAGAATAAGTTAGGTCCAAAATCATTTCTCAGTATTCTGTACATCAAAATTAGATCTCCCCTTAGTCTGCGATAGGACAGAGTAAAGAGGTCCAGATTTTCAAGCCGCTCTTTGTATGATAAACCCCAGAGTTCTGGAATTGTACGGGTAGCTGCCCTCTGTACTTGTTCTAGGATATCTGAGTCATATTTTAAACAGGGGCTTGCAGCCTGAACGCAGTTCTCGAGCTTAGTTATCACTAAGGATGTGTAAAATGTGGTGAACATGTCTAACTTAGTGAATGTCCGTTTTAAAGCCCATAGGGTTTGAAACCCCTTAGCTGAGACCTCCCGGCAATAGGCCGTCGTCTTAAGATTATGACTCACTGTCACATCTAGATCCTTATGAGATCGGACCACGGGTAATGGCACATCCCCTATGTTGTAACTATTAACCTTTGAATTCCCAAAGTGCACGTAGACACACTTTTCCACGTTGATAGGCATCAGCCACTATTTAGACCAGTTTTTCATGTTATTTAAGTCTGCCTGAAGAGCACATGCATCTTTGTCTTCGGTTATTACTCCCCAGATTTTTACACTGGAGACTGTACTATACTTGGAAGATCATTAACATACATTATAAAAAGTAAAAGACCTAGGATGGAACCTTGAGGTACCCTACTAAGTACTGGTCTCCAGATGGAGCACATGGGATTTATTCTTACTTCTTGTCTACGACCTACTAGGAAATCCTTAATCCATTTTAAAAGAGGTCCGGCAATACCAAGGTCTTTCAATTTCAATAGCAGTCTATTAGTTGGCACCTTGTCAAAAGCCTTACTGAAATCTATGTAGACAACATCCACTGGGTTTCCGTTGTCTAGCGCATTAATCCACAACTCCCTTGCTATAAGAAGGTTCGTTGTACAGGATAGATCCTTTCTAAAACCATGCTGTGCCATGTTCAGCAAGTTATTGTTTTCCATAAATGCTATTATAGTCCGTTTGACTATTCTTTCCATTATTTTGACCACAACACTGGTGAGGCTTGCAGGTCTGTAATTCGGTGGAACTTGTCGTGGACCTGTTTTGTGCATGGGAGTGACGATCGCGCCCTTTAAATCCATAGGTAGCACTCCTTGATCAAGTGGAATATTGAATATTACAGTCAGTGATGCCGCGATATATTGTGCAATATGTCTCAAGATTTTGGGGTGTAGTTCATCTGGTCTTGTTGACTTTTCCATGTTAAAAGTGCTAAGAGCCTTAAGCACATCGTCTTGATTGCAGACCACGGTGAGCAGGTGGTTTGCTGACTGTTTATTTTCGGTCTGATTCTTTCTCTAGAGGAGGTTCCTGAGTGAAAACTGTTCCAAAATGGTCAGCCATAACCTCTGATTTTTCCTGATCTTCCTCTATCATTTCAGATTCACTTCCTTCTTTAATTAGGTTGGGAATCCAACGGTGCATCCTTGTTCTGCAGTTTATGTTCGAGAATATTCTCTTCTCTGAAAACATATAGTTCTTTGTATAAAAAAACCTGATTTCCGCGAATAACATTATGTCAATTTTAATTACTATTTTCATTATTTTAACTACTGCAGCAGTGATTTTGACAAATCTTCAGTTTCATGGAAGTCACTTTGGTCTTCTTTGATATGTCGGAGGGACAAATACATCCCCTAGTTTATATACCGCAGACGGTTCATTCCATGACTTTGTTGTTGATACAGACAATATTAAATCCATGGTTTCATTTAAGAACTTGGAATACTTAGATTCTAATGTTGTAGTACAACCTAATGAAGTCTCGGTATTACTTGACACAAACTACCCACACGAGGTGCTACGAACTGCTAATAAGAAGTGACAATTCTTCATACATCACCCCCCTAGTTGAGTAGCGATGACCCTAAGATGTGGTCATCGGTAACTTTAAGCCCAACAAGTTTGCCGTTGGTAAACGCTCTTCTGATAGCTTGCTATGTTAAGCAGCGTCTGGTCGTCTTTCCTTACTGTAACGGACCACGTAGTACAATATAGTAATAAAGAAACAAGGTACAGTAAAAATTTCGGTTCATCGTAAACTTCGTCGTTCTTTTTTCGTCGTTTCCAGTCGTCCTGGCAAAGAAAAAAGGACGTGTAAGTGTGTGTTGAAGTACACTCGCACGTGCGTCAAGACACAAAGCGGGCGAAAAATGGAAAACAAAATCATGCACAAGCTAGAGAATGTTTTTTTTGTTTTTCTTATAAAACTTTTCATATACATATATTTGCGAGCATATTAGCAAAAAATTTTGTTGTTTTTTCAGAACAAATATTTAAGTATAAACATATTAAAATTGTTTTTTATATTATATACAATACAAAGAAAAATCGGGAGGAAACAAAATGTCAACTAGTGTCTTACGTTTAAATGTTCTGGAAGTCTTACGCCTCTTCCAGAATGTGTTGTTTTGAGTCTATTTTCAGATACTGCTGAAGTATCATCGTTAGTGTTGGGCTTCAGATGAGATATCGTAAGTGTCGGAGTCGTGTCTTTCGATTATACCTTGTGTAAGAGGTTAGATTCATGCTCATTGAAGAAAATGGGGTGATCTTATCCGCAACGCAACCATGTAAACTTAATGTATCGTCCAACGTAATAACGGTCATTTGTGCGTTCAAGTAACCACAGATTTTGTTATTTCATAATGTATTTTTAATTAAATGACTAGATTATGTAGCTAATTTTGCTCTTTTTTTAATTTTTATTCTGCATGTTCGACTGCGTTACACTATACGTTTACTGCATGCTGAGATGCTATCCCAAGTCATAGTGAGTTAATTCACATAGTTGATTGTTTCCAGATAGACTGTTAGTGCATGATTTTACTGAAGAAAGTTTTGTTGTACTGTAAACTATGTTTCTTTGATTAACTGACTGCTGTCTTCAGTCGGAAAGCAATATATGTATTCTTTATCTTCTGTAAGGTAGGTTCATATGGCCTATATTTCGTGCTTTGGTTTTATTGGCCTAATTATGTCCATTTAACTACTTTGAGCAACATGTCTGTGCAAATGAAACAATAATTATGGCACTTGCTTAGTTTAGTATTCTTGGTTGTCGTATAATTCAGTTTAGTTGAAAGAATTATGTTATTCTTAAGTATAGTGCTTGAAGCCTGTAACGAAACAGATCAGTTTAGTAAGTAGAGTTGCCTGCTTTTAATGAGTATACTGATTCAGATCAGTCTGATTAAAAATAGGAAAAACGTGCCTTTGATGCAGTTGCTGTCATATATTATAAGATAGCGATAAGTATGTTTGGTGTTTATTTCTAGACTGTACATTTATCACTGACCATATTTCATGATCACTGTCATTAAACAATTTCCCAAGCAATAACATCGGTAGCAAGATAGCTAAGCGTCTGAGCTTTCAGTTGCCCGCAAAACAGCAGTATACAGTCTTAGAAGATGAGTGTTCTGTTTCTCAATTAAATGCAGCTGGCTATGAACAAATGTTTAGAATCTCTTTGACAACTGGGATTTTTATTTTATCAGACACTTACTCTGCTTGTATCTCTTCCTGTTAAACTAGACACAGGTGCATGGTAATACTTAAATGAGAGCAAAATAATAAAAGCATTGAGATACGGTACTACGTCCATGTTATGCTTTGCACAAGTAATAGTAGCTGACTTTATCTAATATTCATGAACTCAAAGTAAATCACAACTGCATAAATTCTTTGCTAAAAACCATGTAATTTGGTTATTTATCTATTTCACATTTCTGACTAAATTCATTATTATTTTCTCATTTAGAATGCAACAGGAGTGAGTCTTCAAAGATCCTAAAAAACTGTTTCACCCTTAGCCCTATGGAACTGTTTACGGAAGACCCAACTAACAGCAGATTATAAAAAGGATGCTGGACGTCTATTTTAGTCTCACAAACAACTTCTAGTATTTTTTGACTTCTTTTAGTCTTCCGTTTGCAAAATAAACTGCAGTTTAACATTACCAATACAATTTTTAACCGGGAACATGGTTTAAACCTTTGTTTGATATTCGATTCTTAATGAAAATTCTAGAATAAAT